AGTCTAAAAGCCCTGTAGGTGCGCGCCACCCAGAGCCCAGGCTTATCCCCAACTCACCTGTCTCGCAGCTCTGTACTGGAGCGTTGTCCGCTGTCACGTCTCGGGGGTGATCAGTCCCCGTGCGGGCCTCCAAATGTCGATGTCCGCTCCCGGCCGGCAGGAAGGACACACGACAAAGTCTGGCAGTGGACAACCTTTTCTTTTATTTTCCTTCTCCGTACAGCCTGCCCTGGGATCGCTCCCAGCCGAAGCCTCCTCTGGTCCGCTCCCCGCGGCTCCTTCTGGGCTTCTACTTCCGGGCTTCTTCTTCCCCCCCAGGGGTGGCACCAGTATATATACGGATACAGTGTCCAATCATGTTAAAGTAAGCAAGGCAAGCTGATTGGCTAACATCATCAGTTGCCAGGCAGACTATATTGTTGAGCGGGTTGCTTACGCGGTAAGCAGGAAACTAACGTGCTCGATGGGAGGGGTAATCTACCTCAGGCTTTACTCTTTACTACAGGCCTCACGTCCGCCAAGTGAGGCGACCGGGCTCGGGGCTGCGGCTCCCAACATAAAACTATTTCAACTAAATAATGCAAACATTATAAGTTTTCAAAGCAATATAATGGGGGACTCATGATTACCATAAACTCTTATATACTCTTACTATTTCTTACACTAGGGAGACTATACAGTATTTATACATGTGAGTTTGATTCATTTTGCTTATCTCAAGTTGCATCCATTTATTTAGAAATTTATTTAGAAATATCTCAATGTGATCATTCTTTATAGCTGAGTAGTACTCCATTGTATAAAAATACCACAACTTTTTCATCATTCTTCAGTTGAGGTACACTTAGGTTGTTTCCAAAATCTGGCTATTACAAATTGTGCTGCTATAAACATGGATGCACATATATCACTATGGTATGATGTTTTCAGTTCTTCTGGGAATATGCCTAGAAGTGGCATAGCTGGAACAAATGGGACTTCAGGTTTTTGAGGTACCTCCAGACTGACCTCCACAGTGGTTGCACCAGCCTACACTGCCACCAACAATGCAGGAGAGTTCCTTTTTCCCCACAGCCTCTCCAGCATTTGTTGTTGTTGGTTTTCTTGATCTTGGCCATTCTTTCAGGAGTGAGATGAAATCTCAGTGTGGTTTTAATTTGCATTTCTCTAATGACTAATAATGATGTACATTTTTTCATATATTTATTTGCCGTATGTATTTCTTCATCTGAAAATTGTTTATTCATCTCAGATGCCCACTTATGGATTGGGTCTTTGAATTTTGGGGGTCTGATTATTTTTAATTCTTTGTACGTTTTAGTCAGAAGTCCTTTGTCTGAGAGGCAGTTCACTAAGATTTTTTCCCAGTTTGTGGGTTTTCTTTTCACTATGCTGGAGATTTCTTTTGACATGCAGAAACTTTTTAATGAGAGGTGATGCCAGTTATCGACTCTGGGAAGTATTTCCCATATGGTTGGAGTCCTGTTTATGAATTCTCTACCTACCCCTATGTCTTCAAGGTTTTTACCCAATTTGTCTTCCAATAGATTTAGTGTTTCTGTTTTAATATTTAGATCTTTGATCCATTTAGATTTTATTTTAGTACATGATGATAGGCATGGGTATAGTTTTAGTTTTCGGCATATGGAGTTTTTCCAACACCATTTATTAAAGAGACTGTCGTTCTCCTAGTGAGCATGTTTGGCCCCTTTATCAAAGAGAAGGTTGTTGAGTGTGTTTGTAGTTTCGAGGACATGAAGAAGTTTAAAGAATGTGGGCCCAGGGTCAGTGTCCTCTTTCAGCAAACAGGAGCACCCTTTCAGCAAACAAGGAAGCCAGTGGTCATGGTGGAGGAGAAAGAACCAGAGAGAGAAAGAGAATGCTCTGGGCACTTTGGGGACTAGTTAGGAATAAGGTATGGTGGTGAGTTCTACCGGAAAGGGGGTGGGGAAAATGGAGTTCAGAAATATCAACCAGAGATGAGAAAAAGCCAATTTAGGATTCAGGATAAAGGGATGCATTTCAGCTAAGACACAAATGCAGTTTTACAAAGTTTGGTGTGCCAGCCCATTTTTCATTCCTGTAATGCAATACCCAAGAGTGGATATTTATAAACAGGAGAGGAAGACTATTTAGCCTAGCTTTAGAGACAGGCAGTCCCAGTGGTTCTGGTGAGGGTCTCCAGAGTCTGCAGCACTCCTTGGTAGATGGCAGGAGCAAGTGCAAGAGGAAGAGATGACATTACCAGGAACTCAGGGGGAGGGGCCAGTCTTAAACCTCAGCTGCTCCTCCTCCTGCTCCTCCTCCTCTTCCCTTTTTTGTAGTACTGAGAAATCCAGGGCTTTTACACTGAGCCACATCTGTAGTCCTTCATTTGTTAATTTATTTCTCATTTTGACACAGGGTCTTGCTATGGCACTAAATTGTACAGGATGTGTACAAATTCGAAATCCTCCTGCTTCATCCTCCCAATGTGCTGAGATGACAGGCATACGCCACATATCCAGTTTTGAGGTCTCACTCCTTAAAGATTCACCCCTTCAACACCATCACTCAGAAGAGCTAGCATTAAGCAGCAAAATTATGTGTTTAGAAAGACACAGTCCTCTGCTCTTTAAGAATGTGGTCTCCCTTGCATTCTCCCAATAAATCCCTGCTGCTGGTTAACACCCTCAGTGGGCTCCTAGGATAGCAACCATGGTCTTGCTGAAGCAGCCTCAATCCTGAGCCAGAGAGTGCAGCACAGGAGCAAGAAACCCTGGCCAGCACTGTGCCTTGGCAAGGTGCCCTACCTGGCGATCAGACAGATGCAGACCTAGGTCTTGGTCTGACTGTTTATTGTGCAATGGTAAATGGCCTATATGCCTTTCTCTGACCATAGACCAGCAACTTCAGCAGCGGTGAAACCAATCATTTGACTGTTATTCGACTGGTGTATTTCTCTACTCAACTGTAACTTTGAGAGGAGCTGTGATTGAAAAAAAGTCGCTGACCCAAATTTCTTTTTAATATGAGTATGGAAGAGAAAAAGATGTACTAACTGTTGTACTTTTCTTTTTCTGAGATGATCCATCAAGCACACTGTGGCCTCTTCCACTCCCTCTTACCTACTTCATCTGTCTATTCACAGGCTATCAGAACTTTCTGCAGGTCACAGCAAGAAGATCTCACTCACACTGGGCTCCCTGGGCAACTACCCTCCATCCTCTTCTAACCTGTTCCCCGGGCCCACATGTTATTTACATCACTTCTGGTACTGCCGTGGCTAGTGGCTCCTGTAGGGAAAATAGAATGTTCTGTGAGCCATTTGTTAAGGACCCATGTGCAGACTTATCATTTTGTAAGCTTGAAGGTTTCCCCAGAAATCTTCACCACTGCCAGAAAAGAAGCTTCCTAATTAGAACCTCCAACTACATGGGAAAGGAATTCTGCATCAATAGGAGGAAGAAAAGCCCTGTAAATGCCAATTCTGAAGATTAACTTCGTTTCTCTTTTCGTTTGCATACTATGCATTGGACTCAAGACCTCAAGCTTGCTAGTCAGGCGCTGTGCCTGGCTTAAGGTCAATTTTGTACAATAAAGCCACATAGACAAAAACTATATCAAAGGTTGGAAACTGAAAAACATATAGACAAAAAGAAATTATCTTCTGTTCATTTTTCTTTTGGTGCAGAAAATTAAACCCAGGGCCTTGTATACATACCCGAGCACTGACCTCCATTTTCAACCTGAGGAATCATTTGGATTTAAGGAACAAACAAACAAAAAATTAGGCATCCGACCAAGCTTACTATCTTCCTGCCTTAACCCAGTTCTCTGGTGCCTCTGACCCAGCAAACTATCATATTCTCTTGCTCAGCCAGTCACACCAGTGAGTCTGGGGTGAGGCAAACGAGCTGCTGGCTTCAAAATCTAAAAAGGTGCTCATCAGGGCAGTGTCTGTCTACAATATCTACCAAGTCGCCCGCTCTGGCCCACTCCCCCTCCACGTGCTCTGGGATGCATCTTTCCCCATGCTGGGTGCCAGGCTGCTATGAAGGATTGGGAACAGTCTCCTTTCTGTTGTCACTGTGGCTATAGTAATAGGCCATTCACTCGGTACCTGGATGCTGTTAGAATTGCATTACAGTTGTCTTCTATATTCTACTTTCTGGTGCCTTGTGTGACTCTAAAAGTTAAAGAATATAGCCCCAAATCCTCGGTACAGGCATTCAGGTTTCTTCCTAGTGTGAGCAACACTTGGTACCACTATTCCCATCGTAAGATCCCAGAGCCCTGATCACCTCAGCACATGCTGAGCTCTGTGTTTGCCACACACATGTGTCTTGGCTTTCTGGGCTCTGCATTTCCTTCATTGGGTGAACCTCTTTATCCAGCAGGACCCAATCTTGAAGTTCAGCTTCCTGGTGAATCCTTAAAACACAAGCTTGTACCACAGCTGTGATTTTGTGCCACCCTCTGTCTGGTGAGCATTTCCATGTAGCAACCAGCTCTCTGCTCCCAACACCAAAATGAGAATTTGTGGTCATTGGCACAGTGTCGGGCTGGCCTTGTGACCTTCACACTGCTCTGTGTGGAAGAATAACTCTCTATGTTCTTATCTACCCAAGTTAAATTGGGCGAAGACAGCTCTGCTCAAGTAACTGTGCCTTTTTTCCTCCTCCTACTTTTTTTCTCCTACTGCTACTCTCTTTATTTCTTCATCTTTGACTTTTGATTCCAACACTGAATTGAAATAGACAAAAAAAAAAAAAAAAAAAAAAAACGAACAAAAGCAGAGTGCCGTCTACAACTCACAATACAATATGAAGAGTTTTTAACTAGAGCTCCAGTGATTTATACTAAAAACCCAAAGGAGCCATTTAAACCACACTGAAGTTGGCCCTGTGCTCCTGGAGAGAAAAGAAAGGAGCTTGCAGGCACGTTCTCCCGGCACGTCTTCAAGTGACTTCACTTAGGATGTTTGCATCCTCCAGTAAGATGATGACAAGACAGAGAACTTCCTACATTTAGTAACATTTATTTATGCATTCAGAATCAAGTACAGAAGTGCAAATATCCAGAGTCCATAATTAAGTCCATTAGGAACTACAGAGAAAGTAATACAAATTGTAATAAAGTTAACATGCTGGTACTTATTAGTGACCATACATGTAAATCAGCCTGTCAATCTCATACAACAAAAGTATTGCATGTTCATTTTGGGTTTATTCATTTAATTATTTTAAGTTATACAAAACTGATTACCATAAGTACAGAGGACTGATTTTTTTGTTTTGTTTTTTGGTTTTGTTTTATGTTTACATTGTGTGTTTTGGAAAAAATGCTAAAACATTAGTCTACAATTCTATATAATGTTATTAAAGATTAACCCAACCAGCAACCCAAAGACACAGAAGCGATTTCCACTATTGCGTCAGCACTGGGCAGGAAGGGCCAAGCCACAGGGTCATGAGACGCTACAGAAGCACTGTGGAGGGAGGGGGTGCGCAAGGGAACAAGAAATGGCTCTCACCGTCATGCACTTTGTTAGCAACACAAAATTAAAATTCACACCTAATACACTTTTCTCTATACTTCAGTGCTTGACACAAGTCACTCAAATATCCTAAGCGTACACCAACAGCCTAAAAACAGCTGTTTCAAAGTTTGCCTCTAAAATTATGGTATTGGGGGGGACAACAGATTTGCAGTAATGACTAAGGCGAGAGCTGTTACCACTCAGACATCCCTGGGTGTGTCCGGTCCCCGCCAGGAGAGCCACCTATTCCGCGTGCCTTTTGGCACCAGGGATTTTAGCCTGGATCCTGAAAAAACAACATTAAAGGGTGAAATTGCAAATGTTCTAAATGAAATCACTTTATATCTTCATCATATATTACTTTAAATAGCTAAGTGACCAAATAGCTTAATATTTCAGGAGATATAGTTTTATGTGCATACCTCTAAACACTCTTATATAAACCAATAAAAAGGAAATAAACATTGGATAATGAACGATCTGAGAAAGTCACATCTAGTATAACTATGTAGCTAATCAACATGCTGGGGTGCCTTTGAAAGAGAGGGTGTAATTATTACAGCAGTAAGACAAGAGCAAGGAAGGTTGGTTCTAAGATAAGACGCCTACGTCTGCCTCAGCGTGGTCAAACTACACACAGCTGCAGGTCAGCAAAAGGGGTCTTAGTCCCAGCTCTGTTGCTCATTCAGCTGATGAGCTTTTCTGGTCTTCAAGACACATCTTAACATGTGGGTGCGGGCCAGACTCCACAGAAGCTCCTAAACTCACTGATGTTCATGGTGTGCTTGTGTGGTTTGAGGCTCGGTTTACACTAGAAGCTTTTGTTAAACTGAAGCTTCACAATGCACTATGCAGACTCTGGCAGGAAATCAGTGCTAAAGACAAAGGAGGAGGTATCTGTTCTCATGGAGCTTTTGCACTTGTGGGGGTTCAGAAGAGAGGAAATAAGCATGTTGACCAGGGATGTTTAGATCATGACACATTCCACAGAGCAAAATCAGGCTCTTTGATAGAAAGGATGGGGCTCATGGTGAGGTGAGTAGTGCCTACTTTAAATCCGTCAACCCGACAAACACGCCCAGCACATAGGACGGAGTCCACACTCTCAGGAGGATGGAGGTTTTAGATGGATGAAGCGGCAAGCACAGAGGCTCAGGAAAGACGACACACTTGGGTGTGGCTGGTGGGTGCAGAGCTTAGAGACGGGGCGTGAGAGGTAGGCAGTAGCCTCGTGTTGGAACCCATGGTGGTGGTAAGGGCTGGGTTCTGTTTCGTGCTGTGTGAAGCCACTGACGAAGTTTAGGCAGGGAGTGCTGTGACTCATGTTTTAAGATAATGGACAGCAGCTGTGCGAAAAACTAGGGAACTAAAAGTAGGAGCAATAATGGAGTGAGGGAAACTGGAGTAGTCCAGGCGCGAGACGGCCACGTCCGGGGCACGTGACAGGTAGAGGGACAGACAGGTTGGCAGTCCGGAGAGCTGTGTGGTGAGCCTGAGGGCCCCACCTGACATCCTGATGGGCTGAACACACGAGAAAGGAAGCAGAAAGAATGACTGAGGAAGGTTTTTCAGTTTTGGGCCTGGGAACCAGGTGAATGATGCTGATGTTTACCAAGATGTTGAGAACTGAAGGAAAAACAGGTTCCGATATGGAACCGCAAGGTGTTTGGCCGTGTAGTCTTAAGTGTCCATGAGACACACGCGGGAAAATACTAAGTGAGCAGGTGAACCGCCTGGAGCTCGCAGAGGAGGTTTGTGCTCAGGGGCAGAGGGTCTGGAGCCCTGAGACAGCTTTCGGAATTACGGGACTTGAAGCAGGGTGGATGAGTGGAAGAGGAGCTGGAGAGGGCACTGAGTGGTGGTGGCCAACTAACTTCTGCACATGCTTGTGTGAACGTCCTGGGGTTCACTGCTCCAACGGGCAATGCCTTCCAGCTGAACAACTCAAACTGCTACTGTTTCCCTTAAATCTCATTCAAATCCTCGAACTTCTAGAATCTCCACTCATTGCTCTTCAGAGAAAAAGAGAAAGCTTACTCCTTTCACAAAGTTAAGCCTCCCACTATTTGGGATGTCTATTGAATTCTTTCAAAGGCATCTCATGCCCAGGGTAATCAACTCTTAGTGAGGTTTGCCTTCATTGGTCATTAGTTCAGATTTCTGACACCCCAATATCTTGGTCATTCTGTCACACTCTTGTGTATAAATGCTCTCTTAAAATGTCCAACTTCAAAATGTGTAGAACGTAGATATAAAATGAGCAATGTAGAATACAAGGATGGCAGCTTCTTTTCATTTAGACTTCGTACTTCTATTATGACATCTCTTTGTAAAAGATGGCTCCACATGTCATTGATTCTGTTATGGTTTAGGTGGAGAAGTCCTCCAAAGGCCTCATGTGAGCAGAGGCAGGGCTTCTGGAAAGTGACTGGATCATAAGTTCAGAGCTAGACGTCTGGCAGGAGGTGGGTCTGACTGGAAGAGGCTGATCACCAGGGTGTCATCTGGAAGGGTGTATCTCCCTCCTTAGGTCTTCCATTCTCTCTCTGTTTCCTGGCTGCCATGACCTGAGCAGCTCTCTTCTCCCACAGCCCTCTGCCATGAGGTTCTGCCCAGGAGCCACTGACTGCACCTGAGACTTCTGAAACTGAGCCAAAACGAACCTCTCTTCCTTTAAGTTGTGGCTGTGGGTTTTGTGTTCCAGGGATGAGAGCATGATAAGGTAGCCTCATACTTGGATGTGCTTAATTAATCAATTACATATTCACACACACTATGGTTATGTTCTATCCTATCCATCCCTTCCCCTTCTATATGTGTAAATATTTGTAAAAAGTCAAATTTATATTTGACTTTTTAAAAATCCAAATCTAGTACTTTGCCTTCCCTACTAACTTCATTTTATTGATTCTAATCCAAAATGTTAACTTGCTTGATATCCCTTGATTCACTGTGAATCTTAATCTTGTCCTTTACTAACTTTGCTTTTGCCCCAGTCTCTGTGTCATCTAGAATTCTGATAATTACACTTATGTTTACTTAACCACAGGAAGCAATGAGTTGAAAGCGATAGGGTCAAAGGTAGGGCTCTACATCTCACATGAGACTGACATTTGGTGGTCTCATGAACAGCCTGTGGCTCTAATATTTCAACCTTCTAATACTCTGCCTTCATTACACTGTATGTCTCCATGTTTCTATGCGAGGGCCCAGGGAGACTCACTGAATGTCTCTCTGAAACCAGAGTACTCACTGGTCAAAGCAGCCTATGGGACCTTTCCATTACCCAGCATATTCTGAGTACTCATTTTAGTGACTTTAGAGTTTTGCTTAAAAGTAGGCATTTAATTTATCTAAAAATAACTTCCAGAATTTATTCTTTGTTCTTAGTTGAAAATCAGAATAGCTCCAGTTCAGTTTCAGTTTTTTTGACATGTTCTTCATTCTTTAATATTTATCAAAGATCACCAAAGGGGCCTCTACATGAAATGCTGGGCAGTTTTACCACCCAAACTGCGACTCACTTGGATACAGGAAGCTGCATTTACTTAGAGCAGATTTCTAATGTTCTTATTTTCTTAAAGTTTCTACAATATGTGTTTTGCCTTTCCTAATTTGAGGTGCTTTTCCCTCATTGTCAAAACTCTAAGAAGTGTTATTAGATATTAGCTCCATTTTAGAGTTGGGAAATTGACATAAAGAAAGATTAAATGAGCCGGGTGTGGTGGCTCACGCCTGTAATCCCAACACTTGGGAGGCTGAGGCAGGAGGATCATTCCAAGTTCGAGACCAGCCTAGGCTATAAAGTGAGCTCAAGGCCATCCTGAACTGCATAGTGAGACACTGTCTCCAAAAGACAAAAAAAAAAAAAAAAAAAAAAAAAAAAGAAAGAAAGAAAGATTAAATGACCTGGACAGGCCACTCAGTATGGAAGAAAGACTGCCACTGCGGTATATTGATATAGCCTGATGTAGCCCATCTTTAAAACTCTTGAACTGATCCCCAAGCAGGAGTAGGATGAGGTGAGGATGATGAGGAGGATGGGGGTGAGACTAGCTAATATTTATTATATCCTATGCCCAAGTAAGAGTACACTATGGACACTGTCTCATTTAATCACCAACAATCCTATGAGGGTTGATGAGTATTACATTTCTAAACTACAGATAGGAAAATAGGTTCATAAAAATAGATAATGTTTAGGAAGAACTCATATAGCCAAAATGCCTGGAATAGACTCAAACTAATCTGATTCCAATGACTGTTCTTGAATATTTCCTAAAGTGGCATAAGCTCTGCATTTCAGAGAGTGAAGTTCCCTGAGAAGTAAGAACACAACATGAAATGCCTTCCAAACTTTTATGTCAGATACACCAGGTTCTTTGGAAGAGCTGCTATTTCCTCCTTTCTGTAAATAAGACATAGCCTTTGCCCCCATTTTTGGTTCTAGTACCGGAAAGCATGGAGTGGGGATCAGCTGTGTAAGTGTGTGAGTTCCCAGAGTCAGCGTAGTTTCCTTCCCCTTCTTGGCTTTGATTTCCAACTGCAGGTTAGCTACTTCTACGCATAGGCGTGTACACAAGATATTCTCTTCATTTTAACCAGCTTTGGCCTTATCAATTCGTCTGAGTGATGACAGTTTCATAGCTCACCACCACATCTCCAGTCTCTCTCTTCTTCTTCTCTCATTACACTGCCACGTTAATCTTCACAAAATGGAAACCTGATTGCCTCCCTGTCCTACTCAGCCACGTCAAGGACTAGCCATTTCCTGGTAGGTCAGGGTCAAACTCCTTAGAGGATGCACACCTGATTTCAGCCTCTCTTTCTACATTCCTTCTAGCTGAGATCTCCTAGTTGATTTTTAGACACACTGCCCGACTCACTGCTTCCGAACACGACTATGTTACTAGGTCTCTGTCTTTCCTTAGGTTATTTCTTCTGCCTGCAATAGCTTTTCTCTAGCATCCACCAGATGAGTGTTCACCTAACCCTTAAAGCCCATGCCCAAGACTATTTTATCTCAGTGGTTTTTTATTATTCACTCTAGAAAGGAATAATTGTTTCCTCATCTGCCTGACTTTAGCATTTAGTTCTTGTATTGTGTTAAAGTCATACCTCTGCAATTTTGTCTATACCAATGGGCTGAAAACTTTTCTAGGACTGAGAGTATTTCATTTATCTATCCATCCTTTTGCTTATCACATGAAGTATCCAGAAGATAATAGTTATTCCTTTTTTGGAACCAGTCAACCAACCAAAAAATTAATAAATGTGATTCACTTAGGATCCCCAAATAAAGCAATGGACAACTTAAGAACTGAGTAATTGGGCTGGGGCTTTAGCTCAGCAGTATAAGCACCTATCTGGCAAGCACGAGGTCATGAGTTTGATCCTCGGTCCCCCCCACCAAAAAAAATTGAGTAGCTATCCTGGAGGTTCCAAATTCCTATTCTGTAGCTCTATGTGGTAATTTCTGAATATGGTTCAGTCTTCGAAAGGCACCTAGTAGAGGTGATTAAAATGTAAATTCCAGGTCACTAATGCTAGAATTTATAATTCTATGTCTGCTGTGGGGTCTCACAATTTGTATTTTTAAACAATCTTCCAAATTTGGATATTAGCAAATTTCATGCTATCCCAGACTACTATGTATTATATAAAATGACTGTTTTAACTTCCATTTGTTGATTTTCATCAGACATCAGTTACACTTGAGTCCAACCTGATAATTTCATGCATTTTGAAATGTGCTACAGATCTGATACAGATCCAAATTCACCACAGAACTGATGCATTCCTCATATATATATATATATATATATATATATGTATATATGATAATTTTATAAATGTCAAGACAAGACTATAGCTAATGACATGTAATCTAATATAAAAAACTTAAAGTGATTGTCTTATTTATTCTGTTATTATATCTTTGACTATATAAAACAATAAAACCATCAAGGTCCAGACACATCTGATTACTAGATGGGGTTATAGTGACAAAGTCTAGTATTTAGTGACATGTATTTGTAGCTGAAAATTTCTAGACCTGATTAAAACAAAGTCTGCAATACTAATAAAAAATAAAACTATCATTGTAGATAGAAGCAAAGCCTAAAAATACTAGCATAATAATTAGGAAAAAACTACCAAGTTAAATGGTCACGTTAGCCGTTGATACATAAAGTGGAAATTTTTTTTTAAAACTGAAATCTTTATCTCCTAATTTATCAGGTAGCCCAGGAAATACAGTCTGGTCTGTTCAATACTCAGGTTTTAAAAAGCAACAATATTAGCTAGAAGTGATGGCACATGCCTGTAATCCCATCATATGGGAGGCTGAGGCAGGAGGATCTCTGTGAGTTCAAGGCCAGTTTGGGTACATAGTAAGTTAAAGGCTAGCTTGAATTACATAGTGAGACCTTATCTCAAAACAAAAACAAAGAAAGAAAAGATCAATCAACCAACCAACCAAAAAAACAAACAAAGTAAAGCTATTAATTAAATAAGCAAACATGTATCTGTTGAACTGGCATAGGTAAAATTCTTAGAGAACAAAAATTTTACATTTTAATGTTTTAAAACTAACCTGAATAGTTTAAGTGACTGAAGGATTTATTTAATTGAGAGTTGCAATTTATACTCATTTTCTTAAGTAATATAATTGAGAAAAGAATGAACATAGGACTCAAATGACTGATTATAAATCACCACATTTTACTATCTTTTGGTTACACCTACTTACTTCATTCAAATGCCTATAAACAGTGCATCTTTTTATGAGCAGTACTATGTAACTTACTTGGCCACCACAGCATTTATATGAGTCCTCACAAGTCCCAGGTATTGGTCAATCTGTGCCTATAAAGAGAAAGAGATTATAGGCACATGTAAAGCCCACAAAGTCAAAGTTTATTGACTCTGATGCCACATGGAACTCACCTGGTGCTTAACATACACTACAGGTAGAGTAAACACTGAAACCACAGCTAGGATGAAAAACAAACACAGCATTAAAATTCTGAGAGTTACACTCACATGATGACATGATAGCATTATACATACATGTATGTGATATATTATTTGGATTAAGAAGCATTCTAAATAAAAGAAGATAGGGCAGTTCATGAGAAAAATAACAGGATCTGAGCCCTTTATAAATATTATGTCATTATTTCTATGAGTGTGGACTGAGCCCTCCTAAGGCGATCATGAATCTCTACCCGTAGCAGCCACATGGCCATATGGCATTCCAGAGTATAAACAGATAAATATCAGAGTGAAATACAACCAGTGGTGTCGCAAAGAAAACTGCACACTTAGAAATTATTATTCATGTGCAATATATGTTACACTCCTTGGTTGAATTGCAGGTGTAAGGGAAGTGCTCTGGCCTCAGGAATACTGGAGGAATCCACTAAAACAAGGTAAAGTATTACATTGCCCAAGTGTGTGAAGGAAGAGTGATGCCCCTTTCCTCTGTCCTTACCCATGAGCAGCAGAGTCAGCCCATTGAAGAGTGCGCCAACGTAGGTCAGGAGCCACATCAGCACTGCAAACTGAGGAGTGAAGGGGTCAGAGGAGCTCCTGAGACTTCTGACAGACAACTGTCTCATACCACTGACTTCAGTTTAGATTAGAATCAGAATTTCTCACATTAGCATTTCCATTTTTTCTACTTAGAATTTGTAATTATAATTTTTAGATTAGAATTAGGGGCAATAGAAAATGAATTTTGATGAAATTGTTCTGTAGAAAAGGAAAGAGCAGTAAAGTGGCCAAACCCCATCATGGGATCAGTGACAGAGGCCTGCCCTTAAGCCTCCTGACACTTTGGATCACACTGTTGGAAGATTCCAGGGATACTGTGAAGCAATAGTCTGGGCCAGAGGTTGGCACACTACGGTACCTAGAAGCACTGAGGTCAGTAGTCAGGGTCCCCCTGGTGAGTTATTATTTTTCCTCTAAGGGTCCAGCCCATACCTCTCAAGGTTCCCTCTACCCTTTCTCCAGAGCTCACCCATGGGTGCCACCTTGCACACTGTGGGTGTACACAAAGCTCTGAGTGCAGGAGTCACATGCAGTCACCCAGCTGCCCCTCCATGCACAGTTGCTGGATCATGTTTGATGGATGTGACTGCACCCGAAATCCCAGGGAGCTGCAGAGGCTCGGAGACATCCCCAGCCCCAGTGAGCGCATGGAGCTCAAAGCCTCACCACGCATGAGTGGAGGGCACCTCTGCTTTCAGGGCTGGGCCCCAGGACGCTCGGAGGAGCAGTGTCAACACAGTCTATAGCTCCTCTTGATGAGGGAGTAGATATGTTTTTAATGTCCCCAAACTGGATTTAAAAAAATTAATTTTAGGGAATTGGTTGACAAATTGAAAATGGTTCAAGAATAGATAGCCTAGTATGCAGTAAAAAAAAGAAAAAGTACAGAAATACTCGTAGTGGCTATGTGACCTCCTTTGACACATGCTTCATCAGTAAACACAGGACAACCTTGTGGAAGTGGCCTACCCTTTCTAAAGTTTTGAGGGGAACTGGCTGAATCTCATGATGCCATACAACTGGAGGCTTTCTGACTCCAGAATAGAATTATCACCTCCGTTGTATGCTCTGCTGCACGCTGGTTTATAACTCACTACCTTTGGGGAAAACAGAACTTGGGACTCAGTGAAGGGCTTAAGACCATACTTTCAAGGAGTCCACGAGGTCCTGGACGAGGAAGAGCCTCCGAAGCTCCTTCAGAGTGCTGTTCACGTAGAGCTGCAGGCAGTCCGTGTACTTCTGGATCTGCTCCTGGGACAGGGTGATCTCGAGCTCCAGGTAGGCCCTGGCAACAGACACCAGGGAGCGCCTCAGAGGGATGCCCTGGCCGGCTGCGCCCCAGGGCTGGCCCAGGGCTCCTCTTGTCTCTGAGGACTTGGCTGCATCTTGTCCATGACAGCAGCCACAGCTGCCTTCCAGGGCACTGGGAAATGTGGAATCAGAAGTGTCTGGGGAGGGGGAAACTGAGATTGCCTAACACTCTGCAGTGTGAGGCCAGCTGAGATTGTCGCACACTCAGCTCACGCGCTGAATTCTCAGTTCCTGACTGCATGGAGATGAACTATCTTCTTTACATAGTGGAGCTGCCTGAAAACTTTAGTTGACAATTATTGTTACACATCAAACTTCAAGAATTCACAGAATTCTGGAATTCACTTCCAAGTTTATCTTGGGAACCCTGAAAATTCAAGTGACCTGAACCATATTAAAATATTCATAGATTCTAGTGAGTGGTATTTTTAGTAATGGAATTATTCATTTGTTAAGCGGTTAAGTTTGACTCATATACAAATATTGTATATAAAATATAGGAAACACAGTATACTCATGTATAAACTAAAAATATTTAAAAACCAACCCAACCTCAAGTCTCTCTGCTTGGCCACACTCTTCCACAAAGGTCCACTGTTCCCTTTCCCTCTCTCTATCTCCTGTTTCAATACAGTACTATCCTGCATGCCCAGAAGAGTCTGTATCCTGAGAGTTTGGAAGGGGTTTCTTAACTCTGGGAGCCCAGGGGAATGTACAGAAGCAGCCCTTGGCTTGAGCTCCAGGGAGTGCTATGGACTGAATTCTGAGTCTCTTCCACATTCCTGTGCTGAAATCACTCCCCACAGTGGGGTGGAGCTTTCTTTGAGGTGAATGGCCTAGCAACCAAGCCCTGGGGAATGGAATTAGTGCCTTTTATAAAGAGACCTAGAAAGCTTGCACCCTCTGCCTGCTTGTGAGAACAGGACTGCAACCCCAGGGAAGGGGCAGCCTGACCTCAGCCTGCCCAGCCTAGGCCATTTCCAGAAATAAAGTCCTGTTGCTTAAACCACCCGGCAGAGCTTTGTGATAAGGGCCTGGACTGACTGTGCTAGGCTTTACATGTGAATGTTATAGCGTTTTCTCCCCTTTATAGCAAATACAAAGCTAGCAATTTGTCTAAGATACTATGTTCTGATTAAAAATGTATCAAATCAGACATTCTTTGATGATAACGTGACACAGCCAAAAGCAAGTGTTACATTTTAATTCCTAAAGGAAGATAAAGTAGTTGACCTAATAGTAGTTGACCTAGTAGTTAGACATTTGTTCCCATAGCAGGGTGTTAGAAGTAATAAGGGAGATGAGAGATAGGGTTTCCCTGCCTCTGGTCACAGCCCTTGGGGGCCCAGATTGTGGTAAAAATGGTGTGATAGCTCATAGGAGAGCCTCTAGTGGCCCGAGCTAAGATGCAGACAAGGGTGCTGAGCCCTGCCAGGAGTGCTGAGGGGAGTGTAGAAGTGGATGAGACCTCGCGCTCTCCACTCTCCCCGCCTTTGGAGTGGGGGTAGTGTAGCCACGCCACAGCCCAGGCATGCCATTCCCTCACCTCACATTAGAAGAACACAGTGACCTGCAGGCAGCTGGCAGGGACGGCAAACAAGGGTGAGGCTGAGGTGGCATCCATGACTATGACGACACCATTCTCACCCAGAGCTCGCACTGTCCCTTCATTACAGAAGGCAAGGACACCTGAATGGTGTCCACACCCTGGAGCAGCTAGCAGGAGAGAGGACAGTGCAGACAGTCTGTGCCAAGAGCACCCAGGCTCTCTATCTGGAGTCAGGGAGACCCTTGGTGGGGCTGGGTGGAGGCAGCTGGCCAGGCCAGCACTGCCTTCACCACGTTTCATCTATTCTCTTAGTAGAGCTCTTCTTTTAAAATAATTTGGTGGCTGGGGATATAACTCAGCAGCTCAAGTGCCTGCCTGGCATGCATGAGGTCATGAGTTTGATCCCCAGTATTATAATAAATAAACAATTAAAATAATTTTTTCCCCAATATTCATTCTAATTGGATAGTCCCAGTGCAAAATACAAAAAAGACACATAGGCATATGATAAGACTGTTCATGCATCTCAACCCCTCACAAGCTTGGCCCTTTGGTGTTAAACAGAGAGAGGCAGAGAGAAAGGCAGAGAGAGAGACAGACACAGAGAGAGAGAGGCAGAAAGAGACAGAGAGAGACAGAGAGACAGAGAGAGAGAGACAGAGACAGAGACAGAGACAGAGACAGAGAATGATGAAATAGAGATAAAAATCCAGACACCTTAGTCCTGGCTCTGTGTTACTACTGACAATGTGGTGGTGGGAATGTCACTTTATCTTTGGGACTTCAGTCTTTCTAACCATAAATCAGGATTATAGTAGTGGCCCTACCTTCCTTACAGAGTTGGATTAGCTCATTGGGATACTCTTTAAATTATAAAACATTATGCATACATTATGGGTTATAATTATCATTTGCAAAATTTAAATTATAAAAATTCAGTACAGAACTAGGCCTCAGCCAAGCAACATTAGATATCAGAGGCAGGCCTTGGAAGATGCCGAGAGGTCTCAGAGATTCACATGCAGGGCTCCTGGGCTAGAACAGAAGCAGGGCAGCATGCAGCGGGGCAGCAGGGCCAGTCTGGTTGGGCACTCACTTGAATGGGTGGCCCTCGTCAGTCTTCTGCACAGCTTGCAACACAGACTTGTAGATGCGGAAGCTGATGGTGGCTGAGAGTGCAGCCAGGGCCAGGTAGGCCACGATGCTCACCACGCTGAACTGGGTCAGGGAGAAGAGCAGCAGCAGAAAGCTCCCAAACACGATGCCGGTCTGCTTGATATCCCGCCAGTAGAGCAGGTCAATGGCTGTGGGAAGGAACATGAACACACATGCCACTGAATGCTGCAGTGCTGTGAGCTGCTATCGCTGTGGGTTCCCACCTGGCATTGGGAAGTGTGTGTGTGTGTGTGTGTGTGTGACTTAACCTGGGGCCTCCTGCTTGCTGGGCCAATGCTCTGCCATTAAGTTGCTACCCAGCCTCATTCCCTTTTAAAATATTAGTTTGAGACAAGTCCTCACTAAGTCACCCAGGCTAGCATCAAACCTGTGATCTTTCTGGCTCAGCCTCCTGAGTAGCTGAGTTTATAGGTATGCACACCAGGGCTGGTAGTTTAGAGTTCTTAAATATGAGTTGGGGTAGATGGCTATGGCAATGGTACTTACTGACACTCCATTTTAGTTACAAACAATTGTTTCCATTGCCTAGAACTGTTCACAGAGAACACTTCGGAATGCACTGCTCTATGGATAATATATCTATCTATGTGGGACTATGCCAGCCATGCAGTGGCTGGACTTCTGTAACTCTGGAACAGACTTGAACATGTGGAAGATTCTGTGAAGCACTTGTTCTCTTTTGGATAGCATTGACTGTGTGCATATCTTGATGTCCTGCTGATAATTTCCTCTTCTCATTTGGGACCTACAGAGGTACATACCAGTGATACAAATGCCCCTGCTGTTGTGAAGGAACAGCTACACTGAGAACACTACCTCAGACTGCCTCTGGAAACAAGGAGGAAGGCCTTTGAGACCCAGCAGGTGTCATGTGCCTCTGGACAAAAAATGTGGCCTGTCTCAAAACCTAAGCAGAACTGAGCATCTGGTGACTATGTCGACAAACCCTGGAGACCATATTTGTGTGAAACTGTTTCATATGATATAATTTGTTAGAAACAAAAACTAAGTTAAAGGGACTAAAGTCATAGTGTTGTAAACCTGACATAAAAATGGAAATATTTTGAACATTTCAGCCCCTAAGATATGAAAAATACTTAAAACCTGCTAAGAATCTATACAAACCTATTCTCCAATTAGACAAGTAGTGAATGGATTTTACAGAATGTTATGTCAGTCAGTTCTCAGGAAGAGAAAATAAGGAACAAACTTTCTATCTTACAACCACATAGAAGTCCCAGTGGCTGCTGCTGGCTTCGTATGCACTGTACCTGGAGACAGAACTGGATTTCAGTCATTTGCTCAAAGCAAAACAAAGATCACTCTGTGAGTGTCGGATGAGTTAAAAGAATAGTACCGGTTGTATATCCCTCAGCGAAAATATCTGGAACAAGGAGTGTTTGGATTTCTTTTGGATTCTGGAAGGTTATGTGTGATGAGACACTTTACAAATGGGACTCAAGTCTAAACATAAAATTCACTTATGTTTCACAGACACACTTATACACAGTCCAAGAGTAATTTTATCTAAAATTATCTACTGTTTTAAATTATCTAAAACTATCTAGTGTTTTAAAATAACGTTTTGCATCAAAAAAGTTTTATGGTGTGGAATTTTCCACTTGTGTTATGTCAGCGCTCAAAAAGTTTCCTATTTTGTGTTTTGGGTTAGGGTTGCTCAGCCCATGTTGAGAAAGTCACGGACTCCAGTAACAATCCAAGCTGAAGATGTGACATGGGGACACTGCTGGGCACAGTACTGGCCCCTTCTCACAGCCAGCTGGCCTCTGGGTGGCCGGCTGGGAATCAGTTGAGAGATGAAAGGCTCTTTACAATCATCTGAGTGCTTTCAGTGCTTGGAAGCTGGAGACAAAATCTACTCCCCATTCATGCCCTATCCACCACCATTACCCCTGGTGACACTTCAGTGGGCAGCTTTGTTTGGGTGAAGAAAAGGTGCCCTTTCTCCTGCAGCACTTTTGTAATGCAGCAGCAGAGGAGAGGAGAGAGGTCTTGTAGTGAAACGGATCTCTTGTTCTCTTGTGAGCAGGGCAAACAACGAGATTTCTAGAGTCCAAGGGAAAGCGCTGCTTTTTTAAGGCCTTTCTTCTCCCTTACCCAACTACCAATCACACTGATTGGCCTTTAGAAATCCATCTTGGGATAACCCTTTTCTGTCCTCAAAGTAGTTCTTTCTCATCAGCTTCACCTTTTTTTTCCCCTTAAATGTGAAGATGCCAGGACAAGGTAAAGCACGCAATTTGCTTTCCCTTAAAATTCAAAAGGACTTCACCAAATGTGATATGGGCATAACCTTTTAGAAGAGTTTCTTGACAATAGAACACAGAAACTCAATTCTTTTCATGTGGAGGAGAAGGATATTTGGAAGACACAATCTGCAGTCACTCTGTGGGTGGTCAACCTGTAGAGGACAGGACAGATATAGAGAAGGGGCCTTACAGAAGCATGGCTGCTCCTGTGGGTGAGCGAATTCAGTGGTGCTAGTGGGAAGTATTATGGACCTTGTCTAGACCAGCACAGCTAATGGCCTTGGAGCCTGGAGCCTCATATTTATGCTGCACTGTTCAGAAAGGAAAATAAAAAAGAGACTAAAACATCACACTTAGAGGTAGGTGCCACTGAAGCATTCCTTTCTCCACATTTGTTCACTGAGTCAGTACACACTGAGAAAGAATTAAATGCCAGGCTTTGTGAAGGAAAGGACACACAAATAAATGAACTATAAAAACAAACAAGGAAATACTTGCAAAAAACAAAAGCTACATTGCAATCTCTCTTATAAGGCACACAGACTCAGATGGCAGGCATATCCAGAAACAAACATATTCTAAGGCAGCATTATTCTTGCTTAAAGGAGCACTCTTTAGTGCCAGTGAAAGTGGCTCCCCACCGGTGACACACAAAGGGATAGAGGAAAACCTGCGAGTAGTATTCAGACAAAGAAGAAATAGAATTTGCTATTTTTAGGCAGATCCTCACTGCACAAATTTTTAGCCCTTGTCAGTAATGGCATTCTTTTTAGAAAGAACCTTCAATATTTATGTCCACCTGTCAGAGAATGGCAGGCATTCAGTCTGGGCCTTCCTGGAAGAATTTGTGGGCAGAGACGCTGACTGAGTCATATCAGTATGCTACAGAGCTGTCTTGCAGCAGGTCCTCCAACTAGCTTGCTGAGTGAGATGGTTAATCTTGACTGTCAACTTGATTGCTATCTTGGTTACTTTTCTCTTATTGTTGAGACAAAACACTTGACCCTCAAACCGAAGCAAGGAAAGGTTTATTTCTCACAGTTGTTGGAGGTTTCAGTCCACACTCAGTTGGCTCCAAGGCAGTATGGCATGGCAGAGCAACCATTCACGGTGACCACAAACAGCAAGCACAAATAGCAAGAGAGAGACACGCCTTCTTTCCTCTGCATGTTGGCTCCACTCTTGGGCAGGCGTAGCACTCACACCACCAATCCAAGCACCAGACAACGAACCAGTCATGAACACCAGACTCAGCCACATCCATGATTGCATGAGATCTGGGGGGCCATCTGACATAAACCATGACAACTGCCTTGAGGGATACCTAGCAGATTAGTAAAGCACACTTCTGGGTGTATCTGGGTCTGTGATGTAATATGGGCATGATCTTGAGGACAGTATCTTGCCCTTGGCCCCTTCCTCTTGGTCTCTGCTTTCTGGATGCCATGAATGAACAACTTTTATCCACTGCACCCTTCCATCATGATGCTGTTGCCTCTGAGCCAGCCAACCATGGACCAAAACTTGTGAAACTGTGAGTCAAAGTAAACCTTTCCTCCTTTAAACTGTTTTGGCCAACTTTTTGGTCACAGAAAAGAAAATTTGACTAATATTAATGAGATTACAGGAATTTCTACTGAGCAGATTAACAAAAGAATTTTCTTAAAACATGAAGCTGTACCTTGTGACAAGATGTTCTATTTATATCAGTTCTGAAGTATTCAAATCACTTTCAGGTGTTATTTAATTTAAACCTTACAATAAACTTCCATGGATAAGTAATACACAAGGTGAGGAAATTAATAGTTGTTAAGAAGCTTGTGTCTTGACCACAGAATAGACGCAGCAGAATTCACTCCTAAATCCAATGTTTTCCCAAAACAAACAGTTGCTTCTTTCATGTTACACTGTAAAACCTAAAAGTTATAAAAACCAATTTGGGGTAACATGATTATATTTAAAATGGCTTTCCAAACTAGCTGTTTAGTGGGAGTTATTTTTTCCTTAAGTAAAAAAAACCTCATTATCAATATTCATTGGTCATCTATTATTTAGTAAGTGCAAGAGTCAACCAATTATAAATTTTATTTCTTGTCTATAAAAGTTTTTGCTTATATTATCATATATAATAAAATACAATAAGATACAACCTGTTAAGACCAATGAAGACAGAAGAATAAAAGCTTGATGGAGATTATACAGACACCATTGTTCATTTTCTGTTAGTTGGTTCTAAATACTCTTAATACTGTCATTCTCTTGAATGGTTTTACATTGTCTTGATATGTTTGATGCTACAGTATATGAAGTTATACTCAAAGATTTCAAGGAAAGAGACACTATGGTAACTACTTTTATGTCGGGATATCTTGTGATGAAACACTGTTTTGCTTAAATGGTTATGCTTTGACCTGTGCTGTTTTGCTGTTATGTCCTCTTTTATCTCAATCTCCTTTTTTTATTATTTACTTTTTTATTTTTATCTTTTTAATTAAGGGAAAAATAAAAAAAGCAGGATACATTATAGTGACCTACTCTGATTTCCTATTAACTTGATTTGAAACCCTGTATTGCCCTCACCATCTTGCTTTGACTGATTTTCCTCTATTCTGCTTTGCTTGATTAGTACCAAGTTCGAAAGTACAGGCAACAACTGTAAAGACAATATGATTCATTATGACGCCCATTCCGGTTGACTATTATCTTCTTTTAAAGTCCTGTAATGTCTCCAATGTTTTGGCCTTATTCTTTACTGTTTTGTTCAATTTTATTATAACTGATGATATAGGCAATTCTTTTTAAGATAGCAAGAGGCAGTATGGTAACCATTGTTGATCACCTTGTATTTTGTTTTTACA